AAACAAACCTGGGCGATGACCGGCACCGGTACCGGCTGAGCCCATAGGCCTCGGACAGCAGCAGCAGAAAATAACTACATTAATCCTCATTGCAACGAATACTTTTGTGACTCACTGTAAGTGTGGAAGGCATGGCAAATCCTTCTACACCATCGAGGGAAACATAGTGTGGTAGGCAAACCGCCGACTGCACCAACGCGGGAAATATCTTCACCGTCGTGGGAGGTATCTGCTCCTGTTGAGCAAAGGGACGCGCCGAGCCTACAGGAAGCCCTCCAGTTGTGTCCCAACGATGGACCCCGCAGGAGAAGGAAGCCCACGAGGAAAGCATGAAAATAGTAGAAAACGAACTTTGCAAACGATCAAAGTAACGCAACAAGTTGCCTAAGTTGCCTTTATTTTTAAACAACCTCTAACTCAAGCCGATGCGCGAAAGCGCTGCTTGAAAAATACTAACCACTGATAGGCTTTATACTAAAAACATGTAAATCAGTTACATGTAAAACAATAACAACCCTTTAAAAAAAATGTTCCTTTCATTAAAAAAAAAAAAAAAAATTTATGCGATTATATTTCCAGATTCGAATTTAATATTCAGTTTTCTTTTTTTTTTTTCAAAAAATGTCCATAAAATATTTTTCTTATATAAAGATATAGAATTTGAACTGCCTAAAAATAGGTTGGTTCGGCTCAGATGATAGCCAAACAAATTTCTTTCGAAATTTCAAAGTGAACGGTCGTGTTTTTTTTTTCTGCGCTTCGAATTTTGTATTTTTTTTCGTTTATTCCCATCGGTGGGTTTTATCAAAACAATTTTAATTTTCTTCCGGTTATTCAAACATAAATTTAAACTCCGTTCGCTTCGCGAGTGCACTTTGTATTAATACTAATAAATTGTTTTAGTTTTCGTAATTCTTATCTGAGTTTTCTTTTCTTATATCCCCGCCGTTTCTCTTTTGTTTATGCACTTTAACTTATTTACGCTCCCGCTCTCTTGCTCTTTTTGCTTTGAAAGTTCTAAGCGTGCAGTTTCTGCGCTCTTGCGGTACTTATAACTGCTCGCTTTTAAATTTCAATTCGCTTTCTTGGTACAGTGGTCCCAATAAATAAAATGAATAATAAAAATGTTGTCTGCTTCTGCAAAAAATGCAGCCTCGTAATCAGGGCTGACCAGTCTAATATGACTTGCTGGCTGTGTGAAAATATGGTGCACACCAAGTGCGCCGGTTTTACTGGCCGGACAAGTGATGACCTTTCAAAGGGGCCCAATTTGCAGTTTTGTTGTGACGCTTGTGTCGAGGTTGCGAACGAGATGAAATCGTTCATGCGCCAAACTAAAGGCGGCCTGATGGGACTGATTAGCTGTTTCGGAGTTGCTAGAGATAGTTTTCGCCAAGCTGATGATCTCCTCTCTGCGCTGGACTCGCAGTTTAATAGTCGTAAGCTATTAGAAGAGTCCCCTAAAGGCCGCTGGTGGTAAGGAGCAAAAGGGGAACACCCCGCAACCGAAATCAAGAGAACAACAGAGCATTCCGGCGGATCAGCAGCTGATTTCAGCAAACCCTCAAATGTTTCTAAGATCAGCAGCTGAAAAAGATTCAGTATCCGAACAATCCGTTACAGAATGCATGCAACCAGGGACTTCTAAGAATTCCGATTTGTCCGTAGTGGTTTCACAATTAGTGGATACACCTATCTCTCAGAATGTAGCATCACCACCACAAGGGACTACTGAGTCCGGACAACCGGCTCAAGTTGGTTTAGCAGAAACAATGTATGCTCCACCAAATTCCCTTTCAGTGGTTCCACTCAAGAAAAAAATTTTCGTTTCTCGGCTTTCCCCTGATCAAACATCTTCTGATGTATTGTCTTATATACAAGACAAAACTAAGCCGATTGTAATAGTGTAAAGGTGGAAAAGTTTAAGTTTTCTTATGCTAGAGACATTTCATCTTTCAAGATAACTGTCCCTAACGAGCTTTTTGAAGCCATATGCTCGGGCGACTTTTGGCCGGATAATATGGTTGTAAAAGAGTTCGAGGCTAAGATAAAGAAGAAGGGGACCGTGGGAGTAAAGATTCCTAGTCGAGGCCAAGCCAGTGTACCAATTTCAAAAAACTAACTTCTAACCTCCTTCTTTCCTATCAGAATGCAAGAGGTTTGCGTAGCAAACTCACTAAATTGTATTCCGATTGCCTTTCCTTTGCATCTCATATTATTGTGTTCACAGAAACCTGGTTAAAGCCGGAGATCTTTAGCTCCGAAGACGGGGAGGAGGAGTCTTAATTGAAGTTGATTCAAACCTCCCGTCTGAGGAGTTATTTTTTGATGAATTCAATACCTTTGAATTTATTTGTGTAAATTTATCGCTTCCTGGTAACTTTATATACATAACTTGCTCATATATTCCGCCGTTGTCTGAAGTTCCTGATTATTTAAATCACCTATCCGTTATTAAGTCCGTTGCAAATAAGCTTTCCGATAGGGATCAGTTGATAGTTCTAGGTGATTATATATACCTGGAGTTACTTGGTCCACTGAGGATGGATCGAATGTCTTACTACCTATAGCACAGCATGATTTTATTGATGGCCTGCTTGACATATCCCTATCTCAAGTAAACCATGTTCGAAATTCATTAGGTCGCCTACTTGATTTGTGTTTTGTATCAAATCCTGAAGGTGTGTTTCTGTCCAGAGTAGCACCACTCACGCAACCTGAAGATCCATATAATCCAACAATCAAACTTTCATTTAATACGGGTAGAGTTATAGAAGAAAAATCAGAAAAATCCAAACGAATACATTGATTTCGCAAGGCAGACTTTCTGAGGCTAAATAATTTTATTTCTGGCTTTAATTGGTCTGATCTTTACTTGTCCGATGCAGTTAATGTTTTTTACACTGCAATAAACTCATTTTTTAATTCCTGTTTTCCGTGGTACTATCCGTCAACTTCCAATAAATCACCTTGGTTTAGCAAAGAGTTGACACACTTAAAAAATGTAAAGTCCAGACTTTTTAGGAAATATAAAAATACCGGTTCTCAATCTGTTTTTACCAGATATTTAAGTGCTCGGTCGAGATTTACCGTGCTTAATGCTCAGTGTTATAATAGTTACTTAAACCAATGTAAGGTCCAGTTCTCTCAGGACCCGAAACAGTTTTATAATTTTGTTAACACCAAGCGTAAATCTAATTCTTTTCCTTCCTCGCTGTCGTTCGAAAACATGACGGCAGCCACAGATCAGGCAATAGCCGATTTATTTGCCCAATTTTTTTCAAACGACTTACTCTACTTTAGATTATTCATCACAGCCTTATTCTTACACCATGTCCAAGTCAAACCTCATATTCTGTCCCACTTTAACAGAAAGCTCTCTTCTTTTGGATCTTCTTCGTATTAAGCCTGTTTATTAGGTATTGCGCTAAGGACCTGTGCAAACCTCTTCACAATTTGTTTACCTTATCTCTAGAAACCTCCCAATTCCCAAATATTTGGAAGGAATCATTTGTTATTCCTCTTTTCAAAAAAGGTAACAAGTTAGAAGCCAGTAACTACAGAGGTATTTCTAAGTTGTCTGCTATTCCTAAGCTTTTTGAAAAAATTATTACTCCTCATTTGCAGCACCTTTGCAGATCAATCATTTCTCCTTGTCAACACGGATTTATTAATTATTAATTATTTATTTATCCACAATCACAAATTTTCTAGAGCTCACTACATTTGTGATAAAAGGCTTCAATAGTAGTTTTCAAACAGACGTCATTTACACTGACTTTAGTAATGCATTTGACTCTGTAAATCACTTACTTCTTATTCAAAAATTTGACCTTTTAGGTTTTCCAGTTGATCTGCTTAAATGGATTTCAAGTTATCTGAATGGCAGGTCACAAAAGGGTCCTTTTTAAAAATTCAATTTCTGAAATTCTCCGTGTTACCTCCGGTGTCCCACAAGGGAGCCATCTGGGTCCGTTACTTTTTACATTATTTATTAACGATCTTCCCTCAATTAGAAGTCATTCTCGCGTACTTATGTACGCAGATGATATTAAGTTGTGCCTGCAGTTTTAGGACATTTCCTGCCATTTAGACTTGCAATCCGATAATTTTCAAAACTGGTGCCGGGATAATTTACTAAATTTAAACGGTTCCAAGTGCAAGATGATGACTTTTTATCGGGCCAATCCGATATACGCGACTTACACGTTAAACGGCAGTTCTTTGGATAGAATAACTCTTGTAAACGATCTTGGCGTTCTCTTGGACCCTAAACTAAACTTTTCTAATCACATTTCGTCCATGGTTAATAAGAGGTGGTCAAAAGAATTCGATGATCCTTACTTGACTAAAACTTTATTTATTTCGCTAGTCCGTCCGATTCTGGAGTATGGGTCTCCCGTCTGGAGTCCACACGGAATACATATTGGTCGTATTGAATCTGTACAAAAAAAATTCCTTCTTTTTGCTTTACGGCGCCTAAACTGGGATGCAAATCTTATGTTACCTTCTTATTCTCGTAGACTTCTTTTGATTAATATACCATCCCTAGCCAACCGTAGAACGATGCTTGGTACTATCTTTATTTATAACCTTATACATGGTGATATTGACTGCCCCGACTTTTCTGTGCCAAGTAGATTAACTAGAAATTATATTCCCCTAATTTTAAATCATTGTAGATCTAACTATGCCTTGCATGAGCCTTTCAGAATTGTGTTCTGACTATAATAGATTTTTTCTTGTAATATCAAATCTTAACTCTCTGCCTCTCCTAAAACGATTAATACTTGCTTCATTGGCACAAGATTGATCTAACTATTACTTTTTTCCCCGGACCTTTACCATTATTTTCCTATCTCGCGTCTATCTTATCGCGAATCGTGCGATACACGGCTGCGCCCCTCGGTCGGTTGGGCGGGTAAGTGGGCGGTGGGACTCCGCGCGAAAAAAAAAAAAAAAAAGCTCGAAGCACAAATACCTAGTTGTAACACTTGTTAAATAGTATCAACAAATACATACTAAAATGGCCGATAAACCACCTACATGCTGTGGCTCAACAGTGCCCGCGAGTCGATCAAACGTAAGAATCCCGGCATTAAAGTCACCGAGGTGGCCAAGCGCGGTGGCGAATTTTGGAGGGCAATGAAGGACAAGTCGGAGTGGGAGGCCAAGGCTGCCAAGGCTGCCAAGGCCAAGGACGATTACGATCGGGCTGTCAAGGAGTTCGAAGCCAACGGCGGCGGTGGTGGTGCTGCCAACGGAGGAGCCAAAAAGCGCGCGAAACCTACGAAAAAACCATCGAAGAAGAGCAAGATGGATGAGTCCGACGAGGACGATGATGATGAGAGCGAGTAGACGCCTCACCCACCCTCTATTATCCATCACCAAGTCACACACAACCAGCCAGATCCCACAATGATTCGGGAAACTCCCAAGAACCTTTAGATACTCAGCAATAGATAACGCGAAAGTTCACACTATCAATCTCAGTTTAAATGCATTTGTTACTTTTAAAAATGTGACAACAGAACAAGAACTGGCAGCAATTCATTGGGCAATAACAATACTTCAGACCATATATTTATGGCAGACACTTTACTGTCAAAACAGATCACAGACCACTCACGTACTTGTTTTCAATGGCAAATCCTAATTCAAAACTGACACACATGAGACTTGAATTAGAAGAATATAACTTCACAGTAGAGTATCTAAAGGGTAAAGATAATTACGTAGCAGATGCGTTATCAAGAATAACCATCGAAGAATTAAAAAACATTACCAGAAATATAAATAAAGTCACTACAAGATATTAAAGTAGACAGAAATCCTGCGCAGGAGAAAAACAAATAGAATTGCCTAGGCAATCTATAGAAAAAGCTTCAAAGCCCAACGTATTTAAAGTCATTAATAATGACAAGGTACACAAAGTAGTGACCTTGCAAGTAAAAAATATGACCTGTTTTTTCAAAAAAAAAATTACTGCAAGATATAATGTTAGCGATTTATTTACCAATGGAATTCTTGACTTAGGTCTCTTCTTCCAAAGGCTTGAAATGCAAGCCGGTATACATAAAATCAGCCAAACTAAAAATGGCACCGTTGGAAAATATCTTTGAACAAGTTTTAATTGATATTTTCAAAAAAATGGCCAACAAAATATTAAAATCATTGAGAGTAGCGCTACTTAACCCAATGAACCTGTCTACATTCCACAACGATCCAGTACAAGGAGGTCACACAGGCATTACCAAAACCTTGGCCAAGGTAAAAAGACATTACTTCTGGAAAGGTATGACTCGATATATTACAGAGTACATACGAAAATGTCAAACATGCCAGAAATCAAAAGTGACAACACATACAAAGACTCCTATGACAATCACAGATATTCCAATAAATGCTTTCGACAGAGTGATAGTAGACACAATTGGCCCACTACCAAAATCAGATAATGGTAACGAATAAGCAGTTACGCTTATATGCGATTTAACAAAATATTTAGTTGCCATTCCAATTGTCAATAAAAGTGCAAACACTGTTGCAATGAAGATTTGAAGATTTTATTCTAAAGTACGGTCCAATGAAGACGTTCATTTCGGACATGGAACAGAATACAAAAATTCAATTATACAAGACCTATGTAAATACCTGAAAATCAAAAATTTAACTTCAACAGCCCACCATCACCAGACAGTTGGAACAGTAGAGAGAAGTCATAGAACTTTCAACGAGTTTATACGTTCATATATATCAGTTGATAAAACTGGGACGTTTGGCTTCAATATTTTGTATACTTTTTCAACACGACCCCTTCTATTGCACACAATTATTGTCCATATGAATTAGTCTTTGGGAAAACTAATAATTTGCCAAAACATTTTAATAGCATAAATAATATAGAAGTAATCTATAATATAGAAAATTACGCTAAAGAAAGTAAATACAGATTATTAACAATCGCATACATTTTTTCTAATTTTTACCGAATATATATATATACTAGCTGTACCCGGCGCGACTTCGTTCGCTTAAAATTAGTTTTGAGTATGGTTGTCAAGACTTTCCCATTTCCACACCACCCCTGAGGTAGAGAAATTGGCTCGTTTTTATACCCGTTACTCGTAGAGTAAAAGGGTATATTGTATTCGTGCAAAAGTATGTAACAGCTAGAAGGAAGCGTTTCCGACCCTATAAAGTATATATATTCTTGATCAGGGTCACTAGCCATGTCCGTCTGTCCGTCTGTCTGTCCGTCTGTCCGTCTGTCTGTCCGTCCGTATGAACGCTGAGATCTCGGAAACTATAAAAGCTAGAAGATTGGTATTTTGCATGCAGATTCTAGGAGTTCCTACGCAGCGCAAGTTTGTTTCAAAAAGGTGCCACGCCCCCTTTAACGCCCACAATCGCTTATATACGATTTTAAAAATTTAAATATTTCGGAAAAGTAAAAATGCAGTTTTATTGTGTTTATCAATACCTATCGAAATGTAGAAGAAATTGTTCAAATCGGACCATTCGTTAAAAAGTTATGCGTGATCAAAGTTTCTATCTCCATCTCCCTCGCACCCCCTTTACCTGAGAAACGGGTATCTGATAGTCGGGGCACCAGACTATAGCGTTCTCTCTTGTTTTAATGTGGTATCTCCAATTAGACCTATTCCACTGAAACTTTCTAGGTTTAATAATGTTAATTAATATGATTACTTTAAAACCTCTGTGTAAACAACATTTTTAGAAGATCCTTCAGGAGCGAGAATATTAAGGCTACTGGCAGAGCTAACTCTAAAGCATGCGACATAAGATTGTCCATGGAAGACAAGTCCAGCCAGCTTCAAAGTCTGCCCCTGCGATTTATTTATAGTTATTGCAAAGCAAACTTTTAGAGGGAATTGTAGCCTTTTAAACTGAAACGGCAGCCTGGATGGTACTAATGGGATCCTGGGTATAAACACTGTTTCCCCCTTCGCGCACCCCGTAAATACTGTTGCTTCGATTACATTCTTATGAAGACCTTTTATCTGCAATCCTGTCCCATTGCATAACTTTGGGGGACTTAAATTTCGCAATAACATTACGGGTGCTCCAATCCTAAGAGACAGATTATGCCGAAGAATTCCTGGAGGATTCAAAGAATTTAAAAATTCAACAGGGTAATGAACAGCATTATCAGCATCAGGAACAGAGTTTTCCGATTTATAGGAGACTTCTAAGCCATCAAATGAGTTTAGCAATAAATTATTAATAGTGGTTGCTCTTTCATTTTTCGTTGTCAAAATGGCGCGCTCAGATAGCCAATCTAAGCTTTTACATGATATGTTGGAAATGTCAGGAAATATTTTGGATGTAAGGTCTTGAACGTTTTTGACTACATTTCCTAAGCGTGATGTTATGACTATTTTTCCATCAACTGTTGGATGGACGCCATTCCCAATTTTTAAAAGAGTTTCGGCAGAAATTCCTGCAGAACTGTCTCCTTTTAAGTGCACTCGAATATTTTTCGTGAGCGCTAGTTTTTTTATCTGTGGCCATAAAAATGAAGATTTTAAACAGGCCTTTATTTCGTCAGCTCTTGTACGTCTTGGCACAACAGGAAGGGTTTGGCGAAAGTCTCCAGCTAGCAGGACTGTAATACCACCCATCAACATAGTATTCTCATTAATATCTTGCAGGGTTCTATTTATGGCTTCAAGCCCACCTTTATGTGACATTGTGCACTCATCCCAAACAATTAACTTACAATCTTTAAACACCGCAGCCATATTACATTACTTTGAAATAGAGCAATAAGGTGTTTCTAAATTAACTAAATCCAAAGGAAGTTTAAATATAGAATGAGCAGTTCGACCTCCATTGAGCAGGGTAGCAGCTATACCGGAAGATGCTACAGCTAGGGCTATTTTTTTTTAACTTCGAACTTTTGGCAACAATAAGTTTGTCAAGCAGGTTTTACCTGTCCCTCCAGGTGCATCCAAAAAAAAATATTTCACCCATCTCAGCCCCAACGCTTTGTAAAATTGTATTGTATACGACTTTTTGCTCGCTCGCTTAATATTAGTTTGGAGTTAGGAAATTGGGTTGTCAGGACTTTCTTATTTCTTATTTGCGCGTTTTTTGAAAACCTTTGTGTAAACTACCTTTGTAGAAGATCCTTCAAGAGAGAGAATCAGAAGGATACTGGTAGAGCTATATAATAAATGAAAGTGATCCAAGTAAAAGTCGTGAGCTTGTATACTTTTTATCAGTTACAATGTTATCAATGCAATTTTAATTTGCGCACAAATATGTATACTTGTTTGTAAATTAAAATTTGTTGTTTTCAAATTTCTTGTTTTGAATGAAACGAAAACCTTTGTACACACAGTAAACGGTATTATTTTCAGATTCCACATTTGATCGATAAACGGGTATAATAAATCATTTTATTTGTATTTAAGCACATTATCTACTTTCGAATAGAAGCTTACACACACATTGTATGTGTGTACATGTATTGTACATATAAGCAAATCAAAACATATCCAAATATACATATGTACATACGTATTTGGTCAAAAGTTCGAATCTTAAGATTAATATTTAACTTGGAAACATTTTGGCTTTGCTTACAGAATTTGTAGTAATTTTCTATTTTCTTCCATGGTGGAAATTCTTTTAGATTTCTAATTAGGCCTTTTCAAAACCTAAAATTCGGACAAAACCAAATATCGAAATTCCAACCACTTTAGAAGTTAAGCTTAAATACATCAACTTTTTTTGCTCAGAATAATGGATGTTGGAGCTGTTTGGGGCCACTGGGGGGACATATCGGATCTTAGTGGGCGCCCACGCCCCCAATGGAATACTGTGAAAAAATTTGGCTGCTCTTGCTCTTACGGTTTGGGCTGTGGCCGTATCCCCTTTAAAATCGGTCTTTCATTTTATAATCTTTAGGGATATCATACACATATAATATATAAGAACAAAAAAAAATAAAAAAAAATGTATACATAATAATAAATAATTAAAACATTTCTAAATTTTTCTAAATATTCAAAATTTTTAAACTTTAAAATAACTTCATTTCAATACGTTATTTTTTAAAAGGAGGGAGATGTAGTATGTACACATATAACCAATATCCACTGTACCAAGAGTATTTAAGGGATACGCACTGTAACACTTTGTTGCATGTGTTTACATAAACACAAGGCATGGTTCGAGTTGACCGTAACACGATCAGCCCAGCTCTGCCTCGAAGACCATAAGTGCATAAGTCAGCAGATTCCCATGCCTTGACTGCACATATACTACCAGTAAATACTACCTCTCTCGAGCTAGCCGCTGTCAACAGCGAGCAGCATATTCATATATAAGAAATACATAAATGCGGCCGGCGGTACTTTGTTAGATATAAGCCGAATCAATTGAATAAAGACAACTGATGTATACACATCTTAAAAATGTATACAATTATTCTACCCTCAAACTCTACACTATTACATCCTTGACAAAGTTATGTCAATCACCTATGCGACTATGATCTATTAATGTAGACATAACTGTAAGAACTCGGACCTTTTCCATGGTTTTAAACCTTAGCTATCGCTGGTGCTGTCCTTTGATCTTCTAGTCGTGGCAGCATAGCTCATGGCAAAGTCCTGGCTTTTCTTGGTTTCTGCAGTTTTAATAGGTATAACATTTTGACAATTTAATATATGTACTATTGAGATGGCTATGATTTGCGCAGTGCTTGGGC